CAGGGTATTAAGTTATCAGTGAGCTAGGGTATTAAGTTACCAGTTAGCCAGGGTATTAAGTTATCAGTGAGCTAGGGTATTAAGTTATCATGTAGCCAGGGTATTAAGTTATCAGTGAGCCAGGGTATTAAGTTATCATTGAGCTAATGTACTAAGTTATCAGTGAGCCAGGGTATTAAGTTACCAGTAAGCTAACGTAATAGATTATCAGTGAGCAAATGTATTAAATTATCATTGAGCTAATGTACTAAGTTATCAGTGAGCTAGGGTATTAAGTTATCATTGAGCTAATGTACTAAGTTATCAGTGAGCTAGGGTATTAAGTTATCAGTGAGCTAGGGTATTAAGTTATCATGTAGCCAGGGTATTAAGTTATCAGTGAGCCAGGGTATTAAGTTATCATTGAGCTAATGTACTAAGTTATCAGTGAGCTAGGGTATTAAGTTATCAGTGAGCTAGGGTATTAAGTTATCAGTGAGCCAGGGTATTAAGTTACCGGTGAGCTAACGTAATAGATTATCAGTGAGCTAATGTATTAAATTATTGTTAGTTACAGTATCACGTTATAATAACCAAAGATGTAAAATTTGATGAGTGTAAAGTTTCATTTTAATTTTAAATTTTAAATTCGATTTAAAATAAATTTAAAGTTTATTTTAAAGAAAATTTGTCGTGGCATCGACGGCCGGCCGCACTTGCCTTGACGTGGCCGGTGCTCGTGGCGAGCACGCGCGCGCGGTACCAGCTGCCATCCTGGTTGTGCTTCACGCAGCAGATGTCTCCCACCTCCAGCCGCGGCGGAGGCTTAGCGCCGGACTTCAGGGACCTGCGAGGGGAGACAAGCGAACGGTGACGCGGCTTTGCGACGGATAAACGGCACAGGTGGGGACGACGGGCGGAAGAAGCCACGACGATATGCTTTGAGAAAGATCTCATCTGGCCCCGTCACTACTGCATTGAGAGTGCACGCGACTTGGCGAGGTACTGTGCACGCGACTTGGCGAGGTACTGGGGGAATCGGCATTGCATACGACCGCGTCATGGCGATCTGCTTGTACCGACTTAAAGAAGGTTACGACGACATCCGCGTCCGCAAAGATCTGCCGCTCGGCCACAGAGGGCGCCGCTTACCGACATCCAGCAGCGTTCGCCGGACACCGCCACTCGCCAACACCTAGCGATGCGGCGACTCATCCCCCCCCCTTCCCCCCACTAGGTGGCGCCCTTACTCGTAATACGCGGTGATGCCGTCGTGTAGGGCGTCGATCGCCGCTCCCGACTCCAGCTGGTGGACGAAGAAGTTTGACGGCGACACGATATGTGCCACCATGCACCTGAACGAACCGTCGTTGCCCTGCACCTGCAAGCAGAAGACGTTGCCGTGGTTACGAATACGGGTAGAATCTGATCCCGCTCGGTTGGCGAACGCTAGAAACAATGCTTGGCAACGAAGTGCCGCAAGGTCGACGATTTGGCGTGCACACGCTGGAAAAACTGTTACATATAATGCGTAAGCTGGTCTAGCTAGACCGACCAAACAACACTATGCAAAAGAGGAGAGTTGTTAGAGAGCTTGGGCGGATGGGTAAATTGCAAAATCAAGTGTTATCAACGTTTATACAGTAAATACACAGTCAACGAGTGAATCACTGTTGCGGACCTTCACCGTGGCAGCGGCGATGCTCGGCCGTTCCGCGTCGCTCGCACGCTGCGCCGGCGCCCTCTCAGCGTTCTCCTCGCGCAGCAGAGAAGCCTCTGTTCTCTCCTTCGTCTGCTCTCCCGGTTTTCCCATCTCCTGCCCGTGGACTCCTGGCTTTCCCGCCTCCTTCTCTCCACGTTCTGGTCCCCCGCCGCCTTTCTTCTCCTGCGACACCTTCCCCTCGTCTTTCGTCGCCGACTCACCCTCCGTAGACATACTGCTGAGGGAACGGGAGCCGCAGCTGGAGGAAGACAATCCCGTCGGCAGCAGTGGGATCTGCATGCACCCCCACCCCCGTGCACCCCGGCCGCTGCCCCACGTACCGTCGTTCCGCAAGCGGTCGACTGGGTGGCTGCCGAACGGTAGCACGACGTAGAAGTGCTGTGGGTTGTAGATGGCCGACACGTCGGCGGCGAGCCAGGCTCCCGGCGCGGCGCAGCGCAGGTCGCGTGCGTAGCACAGCACCTCGCTGCGATCCGGCGGCGCCAGGTCTGCCGCGAGAGAGAGAGAGAAAGAGCGCCTTAGATATGAGTGAGAGGTGGAGAGAGAGATAGAGAGAGTGCGAGAGTATGAGAGAGAGATAGAGATGGAGTGAGAGATATCGAGCGAGAGAGAGGGATATAGAGAGAGGGGAAGAGAGAGAGAGAGAGAGAAAGAGAGCCTGAGATACGAGTGAGAGGTGGAGAGAGAGAGAGAGAAAGAGAGCCTGAGATACGAGTGAGAGGTGGAAATGAGAGAGAGAGAAAGAGAGCCTGAGATACGAGAGAGAGAGAGAGTGCGAGAGTACGAGAGAGAGAGAGAGATAGAGACATAGACAGATAGAGAGAGAGAGAGATAGAGACATGGACAGATAGAGAGAGAGAGTGAGAGAGATGGAGCAAGAGAGAGGGATATAGAGAGAGAGCGAGAAGAGAGAGGGATATAGAGAGAGGGGGAAGCGAGAGCGAGAGAAAGAGATGAAACCAACATGCAGAATTATTTACGTGGTCATAATCTGTCATTAACCGCGGACATTTAAGATCTTTAATAAGTGAAAATGAAGTAACATCAAATAAAAATATGGATGCAGATAAAATAAGATCAAATAAAGATAATAAAGATAATCCCTATATCGCACGCATCGCGTGAATACCATGACGCAGAGGTCGAACACGAACCTTCACCGCCGGCAACGTGCTCATACGGACAGTTTTCGGCGCGGAAGCATTTATCTCCTCTCGCGAAAAACTTGCAAACTTGTCCTTCATGGTCGGGCTCTGTAGGAAGAAGAAAACTGTTCGAACCGAGTGATGACTAGCATCCAGTAAATGGCCGTCGATTTTTTCAAAGACATTTCAATCATCATATCTACTGGTGTTATCGTCGTCCCCGCCACCGCTACCTCCACGCTTACGACCGCCACCACCACCACCACCATCATCAACACCACAGTCACCGCCACCGCCGCAATCATCAACACCACAGTCACCGCCACCGCCGCAATCATCAACACCACAGTCACCGCCACCGCCGCAATCATCAACACCACAGTCACCGCCACCACCACCATCATCAACACCACAGTCACCGCCACCACCACCATCATCACCGCCACCGCTACCACACGCTTACGACTGCCACCGCCACCACCACCATCATCACCGCCACCGCTACCTCCACGCTTACGACTGCCACCGCCACCACCACCATCATCAACACCACAGTCGCCGCCGCTGCTGCTGCTGCTGCTGCCGCAGACTCACTGTATCCCTGCACGGCGACCTGTGCGTCGGTGACGTCAACGTGGTAGGAGTTGTGGTCGCCGAGGTAGTCCGCCTCCAGTGGATTCCAATTCCGCATCATGGCATTCCCTGGGGAACTGCTGCCGTCGGCTGCCAAAGAACACAGAAGACGTGAACACACGAGTGAACACGTGAGGTGAACACCTAAGGGGAACACGTGAGGTGAACATGTCGTGAGGTGCACACGTGAGGTAAACACGTGAAATGAACATGTCGTGAGGTGAACACGTTAGGTGAACACGTAAGGGGAACACGTGAGGTGAACATGTCGTGAGGTGAACACGTTAGGTGAACACGTAAGGGGAACACGTGAGGTGAACATGTCGTGAGGTGAACATGTGAAGTAAACACGTAAGGGGAACACGTGAGGTGAACACGTGAGGTGAACACGTGAGGTGAACACGTGAGGGTTATATACGCGAGGTGAACACGTAAGGGAAACACGTGAGGTGAACATGTCGTGAGGTGAACACGTGAGCTGAACATATAAGGGTTATATACGAGAGGTGAACACGTGAGGTGAACATGTAAGGGGAACACGTGAGGTGAACAAGTGAGGTGAACATGTCGTGAGGTGAACACGTAAGGGAAACACGTGAGGTGAACAAGTGAGGTGAACATGTCGTGAGGTTAACACGTGAGGTGAACATGTGAGGTGAACATGCGAGGTGATCATGTCGTGAGGTTAACACCGTTCACAATTGCCGGTGCGCGTGAGCAGACCTAGTCTGCCGCTCGCTGTCGCTCACATAATTCGCCAAAATATTTTTCGACGCCATAACAAAACTGGACATCCTACTCGTCACTATTGCTCCCAGCGCCACGCACCGCGTGAACCTGTGTACCAAACACTACTCCGAAGTCACTATTGCCTGTGACAGTATCGACCGTCCGTCCACTATGGTAGCATGACGAAAGCGACCTACTCGTCACTAATTGCTTCTGGACAAAAGCGAGGGAATACTGCGCACCTATTGCTGTGACAGTTACTCGTCCGTCATTGCCGTGGCAAGCGTACCGTACGCTCTTTGACCGTGAATTAGCGTCCGACCTCGACCAGCTCCAACATCAGAGAAGGCTACGCGGGAAGCGAAGGCGGACGGCACTCGAGGTCAGTGTAGCTGCATAGTCGCAGACAACGACTCGCGTTAATTAATCGTGCTCTCGTATTGCTGTCAGTTACAAGGGGGGGGGGGGGGGGGGGTGGGGGGGGGTGGGGGGGGGGGGGGGGGCGGGCGGGGTCTGACTTAGTATACTTGTTCAATCTCTGCTTCATATCAACCTCGCACTGTACTCTATATCCGGTCGCATATGATCAGCTCCTCGAACACTATGAATCACCGTTCCATTTGTGCTCTTTCAACTCTCGTAACACTTTCCTTAGTCACGGTATCTCTACGTGTAAACCTCAACACAAGATATGTTCTCACCTACACTTTGTCAGCAGGGGCACCTCACGCTAGTTCACTCTCGTACGTCTCGTTTCAATTGCGCTCGACGTCTGGATCATTCACCCTCTCAATCGAGCAGTGTTCACTTACGCTGGTTCCGCTTACGTCGTCACTGCTTCATTTGTTAACCTCACGTCAGTTATTTGCTTTCATCGTTGACCATGTTATTCAATATTCAGCTGTTCATCCACCCATCCATAAACGCGAATCATAGCTCCTTTGATAGCACGACACACAGGCAGGCAGACAGGACAGA